GGTTTTATAGTAATCCCTTCAGATGGGAGAGATTCAATAGAATTTACAGGCTCCATATCCTCATCTTCCTGACTGTCTGGCCATATGTCCCCATTCCAGGTTTCAGAATCCCATTTTTTCCCAATCAGTACCCACACTTTAACTTCAGACACCATTCTGGGTTGGCAATTCAATTGGTGTTGTAATGCAGCCACCCTTACAATGAGACTCTGGGTTTGACTGTTGGCAATATCAGCTCTGTTACTAGAAGAAATAAGGCTACCTTTCAGAGCACAACTGGAAACATTGAGGTCTTTTATGCGGCGTTTGAGCTGTGACTCAGCAGTCCTGAACTCATCTCCCTCTTTCATCACTTTGTCCAGTGTGAGTAGGACCAACCAACCAGCTTCCTTATACTCCTCATGCTGACAAAATTACAGAAAAGTATCAAATATGCAATCACCCAGAGCCTCACTTCTCAAAACTACTTGATCTATTGGTGATGATATTTTGCATATTAATATCACCACCTCACACCCCAGATGAGCAGGGCCCTCTATACCAATGGAGGCAGAGTCACCAGTGCCTTTACAATTAATCAAATTGGAGAACCAAAACAGAATCACTGAAAACCAATTTAGGAAGCCCATCTTTATGGTTTTGTCTCTCTAGCACCACTCTTTGTACCAAATGTGTTAGGCTGGGTTCTCTAGAGAAGCAAAACCAGTAAAGCTTATGTATAGAGAGAGAAGGAGAAATTTATCTTAGGAAAATGGCTCACACACTTATAGAAGCTGGCAAGTTCTTGGCTCAAACGTCAAGCTGGAGGCTTTTCCCGACTCACGAAGCTGCAGCGGCTGAAGAGCTCAAGGTTGGCAGGCATTATACCAGCTGTTGACTCCAACAAATGACGAATCCAAGACCTCAAGGCCGAATGGTGGATTGTTCGCTCACAAACAGTTATAGGCAGCACAACAGGATCCTGATCCACAGAAAAGTGTCTCTCTTCCCAGGATGTCCATAAATATATTGGAAGCAGGCCACACCCCTAGGGAAACTCCCTTTCAACCAACTGGCTGATCAAAACATATACATCTGATCTCATCATGGGAATAACCCACATCACAACTACTTAAACTACTCAGAATTATGGTCCAGCCAAGTTGACACACAACTCCAACTATCACAGATATGAACAGACACTTCACCAAAGAAGCTAACAAATACATGAAGAAATGCTCATAATCATTAGCCTTTAGAGAGATTCAAGTCAAAAGTGCACTGAAATGTTACAGCTCTTTTAGAATCTGTCTAGCAGGTTTCCAGTTCTTACTGGAAGACACTCCCTAAAAAAAAAAGTACACTGAGATACCATATCACCAACAATGGCACTAACTGAAGAAAAAGAACAAACGTTGGCAAGGTTGTGGGGAGACTGGAACTCTTATATACTGCTAGTGGAAATGTAAAATGGTACAACCACTACAGAAAACAGTATTGCACTTCCTTAAAAAGCTACAAATAAAAATACCACATGATCCAACAATAAAACCAAAAAACCAAACTCACTGCTGTCAAGTTGGATCTGACTCATAGCGACCCCTCCTTGGGTTTCTGAGACAGTATCACTACAGAGTAGATTGCCCAACCTTCCTTCCGAGGAGTGGCTGGTGGGTTTGAGCCACCAGCCTTCTGGTTAGCAGTCAAATGCTGTAGGCACTACGCCACCAAACTTCCAATACTCTGGGTATATACCCTAAAGAAAAAGAGCTGTGACACGAATAGACAGGCACACCCATGTTCACTGCAGGATTACTTACCAAATAAAAATATGGAAACAACCTAAGTGCCCATCAACAGATGAATGGATAAGCAAACTGTGGTACATACATACAACGGAATACTATGCAATTATAAAGAGTAACAACGAACATGTGAAACATCTAACAACATGGATGAAACTGGACGACATTATGCTGAGTGATATATGTTAATCAGAAAAGGAGAAATATTGTATGAGACCACTATTTAAAAAACAAGAAAAAAGTTTACATACATGCACACACAAAACATTCTTTGATGGTTATTAGGGATGGGAGAGGAAAGGAGGGAAAATCACTAACCTGATAGTAGACTCATGTCAATAATGGTGAAGGGAAAGGCAATGCGCAATATAGGGAAGTCAGCATAACATGACCACAGCAAAGGAAAACACTGAGAGGAACAAAGAATAAAGGGCAACTATAACAATCACTGTCACAGACAATTCGGTAACAACAGGATCAACAATAATTTATGGATGGATTCACAGGTAGATAGGTAACCAAAGAGGTGTGGGAGGGTGTAAGGAAGCACAGCCACCTGCACCAACAGGTTTGGTTATGGATATTTCTACATACAGAATCGTATGTAAGGAGCTCTGGTGGCACGGTGGATAAGGCATGTGCTGTATGTTAATAAAGAGAATAGCACACACTTAGGGGCACAGTTATGGAAACCTATCAGACATAACCAAACACATGTCCATACGGGACGAAGTTCCTCGGCTTAAAGGCAAAGGACCATAGACTCAGGGGGACATCTATGTTACGTGGCACAACATAGTTTAGAAAGACAATGTTCTGCATCCTGCTTTGGTAAGTATGGTGTGGGGTCTTAAAACCCAGCTACCACTACTGACTGCTCCAAGATCACAACAGAGTCCCACACGGAGCAACACAAAAATATGTAACAAAAAATCAAATGCACAAAAAGACCAGACTTACAGGTCTGACAAAGACTGTGGGAACTTCCAAGGCTACGGCCCTAAAACACCTGTCTGACCTAGAACTGAAGCCATTTGTGGAGACTACCTCTGGTAGCATAGTGGCTAAGACACTTGCCTGCTAACCAGACGGCTGGCGGTTCAAACCCACCAGCCACTCCTCGGAAGGAAGGTTGGGCAATCCTACTTCCGTAGTGATACTGCCTCGGAAACCCAAGGAGGGGTCGCTATGAGTCGGGGCCGACTCGACGGCACATAACAACAACAACAACAACAACCTTCCAGCCAAATGACTGACAGACCCCAAACCCATTGCCATCAAGTCAATTCTGACTCATAACCCCCCTATTAGGCAGAGCAGAACTACACCATAGCATTTCCAAGGCTGTAAATCTTTAGGGAAGCAGACTGCATCATCTGTCTTCTGTGGAGTGGCTGGTATGTTCCAGCTGCCAACCTTTTGGTTAGCAATTGAATGTTTTAACTACTGCACCACCAGAGCTTCTAACCACAGGCCCATAAAATAACAGTAATTCCCTAGAGGAACATGTTCCTCAGAACAATCACTTAACATGAGATCAAAACAACATCTGCCCAAAAGCAAAGATGGGAGGTCAGGAAGGGTTAGAAAATCTAGATGAAAGGATATGAGGAGCCCAGAGCAAAAATGGGCAGAGTGCTGACATACTGTGAGGAATTCAACCAATGTCATGGAACACTTTACGTACAAACTATTGAATGGAAAATTAATATGCTTTGTAAACTTTTACCTAAAGCACAATTAAAAAAAAAAAAAAAAAGACTTGTGCACTAACAACAACAAAATAATGCTGAGGGAAATTAAGTTCAGAATGAGAGATAACTTTGGAACACAACTTGGTATTGGTTACCAAGTTTGAACATCCTCAATCTTAAAAACTCATTGCCACTGAGTCAATTTTGACTCATAGCGACCCTACAGAACAGAGTAGAACCATCCCATAGGATTTCCAAAGCTGTAAAGTTTTACAGAAGCAGATTGCCCAGTCTTTCTCCCACAGAGCGGCTGGTGGGTTCAAACCCCAGACGCTCTGATTAGCAGAATGCTCTTACCACAGCGCTCCCAATCTTATGACCAAACAATTCCAATCCTCGACAGTAATGTGCATATGCACATTGTTAACGGTAGCATCTAATAGCCAAAAATTAGAAAGAATCCCAAAGTCTATTATCAGCAGAATAATCTGTGGTATATGCACTCTTAAAAACTAAAACAAAACCCTCACTGCCGTGAAGTCGGATCCAACTCATGTTACCCCTCCTTGGGTTTCCCGGGGGGGTAGCTCTATGGGAGTAGAATGCCCAGTCTTCCTTCCGACGAGTGGTGTGTTTGAACCGCCAGTCTACTGGTTAGCAGTCAAATGCCTCAGGCATTACGCTACCAGAGCACCTTATATTCACTCTAAAGAAACTGAAATTAAGAATGGGTATATAAAACATAGGGATGGATTTCACAAACGATATTGAATAAAAGGTAGACGCGAAAATAATTACACACTGTTTAAAGTTTAAGATAGGAGCTCTGGTAGCACAGTGGCTAAAGCACTTGACTGCTAACCAGAAGGCTGGCGGCTCAAACCCACCAGCCACTCCTCGGAAGGAAAGTTGGGCAATCCTACTTCCGTAGTGATACTGCCTCGGAAACCCAAGGAGGGGTCGCTATGAGTTGGGGCCGACTCGACGGCACATAACAACAGCAACAACAACAATAGATAAGATCAGAAGTCAGGATGGCTGTGACTTTGGGAAAAAGGGGAGCACGTGAAGATTTTTTTCTTTCAAACCCTTTTGGCTAAGAGAGCTAGCCTGAGACAGAAGAACGGCGTCTTGCTGCAAAAGGACGAGAGCCACAAAAGAAATACAGAGCAGGCCCACCTTCCAAGAGGTGCAATAGGTATACCCACGTGGGACGCCAAGGGAACAGATCCGTGAAACCCAGATCCCACACGTCTCCGCCGGCGTACGGGATTTCCGGCTTGAGCATTATGTCCCCGCCCCACCGCTAGAGACAGGGAAACAAGTAGTCCAAGCCAGGAATAGGGGAGGGACCGATGGACAGTGTCTATCGAACTCAACGAATCGTTTGTCCTTTGACAAAGGATGTGTATGTGGACCAATAGGGCACAGCGAACGTGACACCGCCCACAATCCTACCAAGCCAATCGGCTAGTAGCAGCCAGTGGGCAGGCAGGGGCAATGCGGCCCCGAGCCGAACACTATGGCGGGCGGGGCCCGTGAGGTGCTAACGCTGCAGTTGGGACATTTTGCCGGTTTCGTAGGCGCTCACTGGTGGAACCAGCAGGTAAGGTTTCTCAGGACTGCCCTAGCAGAGCTTTTCGGGATCTTCAGCTCTGAATTCTAGCCTGTCTCATCTGAGTCAGATCCTTCTTTGCCTCCCAAGGATGCTGCGTTGGGCCGACCGACCGATGCCTCAGATCCGGCGGAAGAGCTATGCCCCGATGTCCTGTACCGGACGGGCCGGACCCTACATGGCCAGGACACTTACACGCCGCGACTCATCCTCATGGATCTGAAGGGTGAGGCGGAAGCAGGGGTGGGCAAATAGTTTTTCCCTTTCGTGTATGGAGTCTCGAGCACCCATTAGCTTCAGGATACACGGGCCGTGCGGGGCTGAAAGATGAGAAATGAGGAGCCAAGGGGGGAGCTTACTGTAGGTTCTCAACACTCAAGAACAGAGTTAAGGGCCACGTTTACTCTGCTCAAGAGCTATCTGTGTAATGGGCTACTTGCACATGGAATCAATGAGATGTGGACCTGCAGTAGGAACCCTGCATGAAGAGTTTGCCAAGTCGCACAGCTAATAACTGAACTGGGAGTGGAAAGATAAAATGTAGATTCTCTTAGATCTCACCTAGCCGTTTTCCCCTCAACTCATGTATATTTAGTAAATATTTCATGGAAGAGCCAGATGGATGACATCAGGTTATCAGGTGGTCAGATTGGCAAAAAGAGAGTAGGGATGACATTCATGGCTTTGACCTGTCTTGTTATGTCTGGACAGGTAGTCTGAGTTCCCTAAAACAGGAGGGTGGACTCTACAAGGACAAACAACTGGATGCTGCCATAGCATGGTATGTATTTGTGGTGTATGGGAGGGTGTGGGGGATATGTGCACAGAAGGCTGGCGAACTCAGGAATATTGTCGCCATGATCAACCTCCAATCTCTTGCAGGCAGGGTAAGCTCACTACACACAGAGAGGAACTCTGTCCTAAGAACCCCTATCTCCAGGACCTGTTGAGTGCAGAGGTGAGGGCAAATTTACAAAGCAGATTGATTTTACTCTTAACCATTCATACACATTTAGTTTCACAGCTTCAGTTATAATCCCAACAAAAAATAGCTCTTTCTCCTCCCCGTGACTGCCCTTTCCCTCTTTCATTCTTACCTGTGCATTCCTATCTGTCTAGCTTTACACCTCTGCAAATGCTGCCCTTCTCTCTGATTGATCTAAGGGGTACATCCCCCCTGGAGTAGGTGTTCTGCTCATAGGCCTTTCTACTGTGAAAGCTAATCCATGAAAGTGAGTCCAGTTCCAGGCCTGAAGGATAATTCTGAAGTTGCCCTGACTTTTCAATCCTGTTAAACTTGCCTCCACCAGGGTGGAGAAAAAGGACTCTGAGCATCTTAAATGCCTTAGAATAGTACTGTGGGGTCCGCCTGAACTGAACAAACCCTTGACTACATGGGATTAAAGTAGATTTTTCTCGCCCATCCCAGGGAGTGCTGAGTAGTGATGGTGTTTGGAGGGTCAAATCCACTCCCAATGGCAAAGGTGAGAATTCTCCAAATAGCACTGGATGGGGAACTGGGCAGGGTGGGAGCTTGGAGAAGGGTATAGTTGCTCTGCTTTTCTCCTCAGGTCTCCTACCACTCACTACTGCTGAAACTCCAAACCCACTCATCCCCACAGAGGGCAGCATCAGAGTTTGGTCAGACTTCCTCCGAGTCCATCTCCATCCCAGAAGCATCTGTATGATTCACAAGTACAACCATGATGGGTATGAGGGCCCCAGAGGCTGTGTGGCAGGCAACTTGGATCCCCACCAATGCAAGCTGAGGTTCTTGAGGTCATCCTCACTGCCATCCTCCAAAACAAAAAAGATCTAGGCATGATGGCAGGACTGGTGTCTCCTGTCTGTAAGTCCTGAGTCATGTTTATGTGTGGCAGGGAAACAGGTCGGCTGGAGGCTTTTGGCCAAGGGGAGAGTATCCTGAAGGAACCTGGGTACCTGGAAGAGCTGGAGGACAGGCTGCACTTCTACGTGGAGGAGTGCGACTACCTACAGGTAGCTTTGTGGCAGGGTGGACACCAGGGTAGAAGCTCCTCTCCTCCTACTCTCTACGATCCTCCCATCTTTCCCCCTCCAGGGTTTCCAGATCCTGTGTGATCTGCATGATGGCTTCTCGGGAGTAGGTGCTAAGACAGCAGAGTTGCTTCAGGATGAGTACTCAGGGCGGGGAATAATATCCTGGGGCCTGCTCCCTGGTCCCTACACTCTTGAGGCGAGTAGAACTTGCAGAGAAAGCAATCAGAGTGGGAAGAGTGAAATCACAGGATATCTCAGGACAAAGTTGCTTAAAACAAACCCTCCATTCTTTTACCAGGAGCCACGAAAAAGCATCTACCGTCTGTTAAACACAGCTTTTGGATTGGTGCACTTGACTGCTCACAGCTCTCTCGTCTGCCCCTTATCCTTGGGCGGAAGCCTGGGCCTGAAACCTGAGCCACCTGTCATCTTCCCACACCTGCATTACGATGTAAGCCTCTATATTCTTTTTCTGACTGCAGCAGGCCACAAAGCACCACGTCACACTCCTCCAGTCAGCCTGTATCTGTTACTCGGTATCTGTTACTTGAAGCCTGAGCTGAACTCAGCAGTGATGTGGCCTGTGTGATCCCACTATGTCTATGCTTACCCAGTCTTGGGCCATACACAACCCTGCTTCTTCCTAGAGCACCAGGACTGCCATTACTGTTCTTCCTCCACATTCAGTTTTCCAAGCCTGAAAGGCTAAACGCTTCTCTTGGTGCCTCCTTTGCAGGCCACTCTGCCCTTCCACTGCAGTGCCATCCTGGCTACGGCACTAGACACAGTCACTGTTCCTTACCGTCTGCATTCTTCACCAGTGTCCATGGTTCATCTGGCTGAGATGCTGAACTTCTCTGGGAAAAAGGTATGGGGGTTTGTGAGGGCGACAAGAGCTGAGAAAAAGCTCTGTAACCTGATCTTTTCTTGCTTTTTAGGTGGCAACAGCAGGAGCCACCATCCCCTTCCCTTCAGACCAGTCCCTTCCTGATACCTTGGTGCAGCTTGGGGGGCCCACCCCATGGACCCCGCTGTCAGCATGTAGGGACCCACGTGGAACACGCTGCTTTGCCCAGTCTGTGGTGCTGAGGGGTCTAGACAGAGTACACCATACCAGGTGAGGACTGCAGGTCCTTACAGCCTTTGTCAGATGTTTGCCCTTTTCTCCCTAGTGCCTCTCAGCATTGTAATGGCATTGTTCTCTGCTTCCTCCCCACATCCCCCTCCCAACTGATGGTTTGGGGTAAGATGTTTTCTTCATTTCGTGTTCATGCTGGCATAGAATAAAGGTGGATTTGGCTTTGTTCTGGCAGTCAGCTCACCCCAGGGACACCTCTGCCCTCCCCGCTCCATGCATGTGCCACTGGGGAAGAAGTCTTGGCACAGTATTTGCAACAGCAGCAGCCTAGAGCTATAAGGTCAGTATAATGCTTGCTCCTGCTTTGACCCCAGACCTCCCTTAACTTTCTGTTCATTCAGCTTCTATTCACTTGTCCCCACAGTTCTTCCCATCTGCTGCTGACTCCTTACAAAATGGTTCCTCCTTATCCACACCTCTCCTCAAGCCTCAGCCAGCAGGGTTTAGTTCTGGATGGTCCTCCCACTAGGGCAGGTATGTAGGAGGTGAAGAACACCAAGATTTCTAGTATGGGACAGTTTACTCTCTCTCTTCCTTGGTTACTATGCTTAAAAATGCAGTTACACAAACATTGCTTTATGTACCTTGTGGCTGCTGCAGTAAGTGCTCTTCGTTCCTCTCAAGTGCTAGGGTACTAAGGGGACGGTGCACAAAATTTAGAGTCTACAGACATGTCTAGAAAGGGCCCTTATTCCCTCTGCCAGGGTGACTGAGTGCCAGGGTGAATAACAATCCATTCACAGGTCTCACTTCTCTCCCTCCACAGCAGTGGGGAGCATCCCGGTGTTTGCAGCCCTAAGCTCCTCTTCATCTTTGCACCAGACCCTGCGAGGTTTGGCCAAAGAGCTCACCAAACTCGACTTGCGGCGCTGGGCCAGCTTCATGGCTGCTGGAGTAGAACAGGATGACCTACCGGAGATGCTGCAGGAGCTACACAGCTTGGCCCAGTGTTACCAGGATGGGGATGGCTTCACAGACTAAATTCTCAAGAGCGGGAAAGAGCTAGTTTCCAATAAAAACTGCTGGATGCAGGAGCTCAGTGTCCTGGGGCAGAGGAGCTCAGGGTCTCAGGGCTGGCTACACCAACAAATGCATTTATTACATTTAGAAACACATGATTAGGTCACAAAACAATAAATATGTACCACCTGACCAAGAAAAAAAAAAGGTAGAGGAATGAGCTGCAATGCTCTTCTGTGATGCTATTTACAAAATAGATTTTAAGGTCTTCACAAAAGGATATATGGGATGGCAGAACACTGGGCCCTACTCTAGCCCCTAGCCTGACTTTCCCTTTGTCCTCAGTTCCTGCTCTCCCAGCTCTATAAATGAAAACCCAAGGGTTGGACAAGCAAAGTACAACCACCCTCTCCCTCAACATCTGGTGCCATGTTGGGTTGGGTCCTGTGCCGGTGACACCCACAGTCTTCCAGAGTCTCATTCATCCATCTCCTCCTCAGAGAGGAGGTCCCCATGGTCAGAAAGCTGGTCTGTGTTGCTGGTACTGGTTGCATCATCTTCATCCTCAGAGCTAGCCTCACAGGCTGTGTGGAATAGCTGCATGAGTTCTCTGAAACGGTGGGAAACCTGAGCGGAGAGGAGAGAAGGCCTGCTGACATGACTGCATTTTAACATTCATTAGAGACTATACCAACATGATTACCAAGCTGGTTATATTCACACACCAAGGCTGTGAGGGCTGTCTTCCTTGTAGATAAGGAGACTTTACGAAGAGACTAAATATTTTGCCTAAAGTCGCATTCCTACCAAAAAACTAGAATGGAACCTTTGAGGTTTCTACCTCTATATCTAATGCCCTTTTTCTTCTTTTAGAACTACCGCCACCCAAGAAATTCCTTAGTGTAGACCTTTACAATAACGTTACTGTCTGGTTTGAAAACTCTATCCCTTATGTGACCACCCTATCTTGCTAGCCTTCTTGGTTCCTCTGGGGCTTCAAGCTCTGGCAGGACTTCCCCTCCTTACCTCAGCAGGGGTCTTATTTCCCAGCTGTTGGGAGATGATGCTAAAGGTCTGTGGTTGTGCTCCTTGTTCCTGGCACATGGTAAGAATCACACGGTCAGCTTCCCTGTAACCCACGAATCATGATTAATGTCAAGGAGCCAGCCACATGGATGTGTCGTCTTAACCTCTTTTCCTCAGACACACACCATCCATCCCTACCTACCTTGTCCACAAGACCACCTTTTCCCCAGTGGAGCTGACCTTGCTGTTGTTGGCACAGACAGTAGCTTCAGTAGCCTTGGGCTGCTGTTCCCCCTCTGGACCTTTGCCCTGCATTACACTGTCCTTAGCCAAACGCTCTTTAAAGGTTTTAGGAGAAGTCTCTGAGTTGTCAATTCCTGATGAAGAAGATTCATGCAAAGGAGACATCCTGTCTGCTTTCTTTACCCCAACTCTGCTTGAAGGTAGCCAGCTCTCTTGAGTATCTAGTTTCTCAGACACCTGTCTTCTCCCTAGGTCTCTGGTCCTTGAAGAAACAGGACTCAGGAAGGAAGCAGGGAGTTCAGCAGTCCCAGGCGATTTCTCAGTTTCTGAAGCATCCCAGACAAGTCTCGAAGTCTCTGACTCACCTACTGCCTTATGGCCTTCTTTCTCTTTATGAAGTCTGGGGGATGCCGAGGCAAAAGAGCCAGTCTCAGGCCCAGCCTGATTGCTCCTAACAGTTTGGGGAGCGAGCTGAGGAGTCTCTTGTGAGCAATGTGGCGGGCCATCCAGGAGCCGGCGGTCTGTAAGAATTGCTTCTCGAGGAGGTAGCAAAGTGTTCTCCACTGCCAGTGCTGCTTAGGAGGAAGGGAAGATGCACAGGGTCAGATGCACCTAAAGACTACAAATAGTCACTGCGGTTAGCTATTGTGATAAAGTTCTAACTTAAAGGGAGAAGAGGGGAAAGTCCTACTGCCAAGCTGAGAGTGGCTGAGTCTTTAAAATGTAGATTAGAAAGGACTTGGGGATAAGGGGAAGGGGTTCAAGAACGGGAACACAAGAGGATGCTGAATCAAGACTTTGTAGCACTTCTTTCTGCAAGAAGAGTTTCCTGTTGGTCTCTTAAAGAAGTATCTCTGAAAAGGCTGTAATTGATCCAAGCTCAAAGAGGATCTTCCTTAAAGTATGTGAAAATGAGAAATAAAGGAAGAAGGGCTGGGTTGCCTGGGAAACTGGGACAGTCAGTCAGATCACTCACCAGCAACAGGCATCTCTCCCTTTTTGGTGGCCCTGCCAGTCCTGTTCTGGGTCATCTCAATACTCTCCCGCTCCTCCGGGGCTTCCTCCTCCACTGCGTCCTTGCCCTGCCCAGTGTCCTTGGCACCAGGCATGGGACTGGCCTCTCGGTGGGGGCTGCTACTCACCGACTCATGAGGCTCCTTGTTCTTGCAGGATTTGCTGTCACAGACCTGCAGAGATGGCCTCTGGGTCAAGTATCTCCTGAAGGGCCCACCAAAGGAAGAAGCCCTGCTAACCAACAAAGTGTGCTCCAACAATTTTAAAGGGCCCAGAATAAAGCACTGGCCTTCTGCAACCTAGCACTGTAATTTGTTGCCAATCAACCCCACTCCAGAGAACCAGTGTTATTTTTAGGGTCTGTGTTCCTGACACAGGTTTTCTTTTTGAGAAAAATATATCTAAGTGGGAAATGTTTGGATGGATGATTTGCTTCCAATTCCAAAAGCTTTACCCACAGGATTCTCTTTAAAAAGCAAAATCCACTCATTATATAAAAACATTCTATTTTATACAAATAAGTGTGTGTGAGAAAGAGAGAAACATATTATTTATATGTAAAGTTTTTAGGAAGTTAATGAGGTGCAAATCTAGTAGCAAATGATTCTCCCCCACAGTAAGGTCTCGGGGTGTCCCAGGCAGCACTGGTATCACCTCTGTATCCGTTTCCTCCTCACCTTGCTGCTGCAGTGGCTGCAATTTCTCCTTTTACTCTTCTTCAGCTTTGAATCAGGACCTCCATCATGGCAGGAACAGGCACAGTCCTTAGTCCCATCTGGCCACTCAGTCTCCTAGGAGATACTTAGGTTTGGTGAGCTGCCAAGCATACTGGTACCAAGATAGGGAGCCAACTTATGAACCATCTGAACAAGGTCCACCCCCAACCATTTTCCTTATGTACCATCACTTGACGGTGCCTGGGAAAATCAATGACCTAAATTAGATCAAAGCCTATCATAAATCTCTGAAACAATCCCTAAGTGACCAAGAGACTGGCATATCCCAATTGCCCAGATGTTTCCAAAAATATTTAAGTTGAATACAATGTGAGGTAAAGTTACTGGAGAGCTTCATCATAAGCTATGATCTACTCACTCATCTGTCTTTGTTTCTGTCTCCCTGGGCCTTGAGCTCTCCCCTCTTCCATTCCCCTTGAGAGAGGGCTTTATACATATGGAAGGTTCAATCAATGACACTCTGTTTAACAAACCTAAGACACAAGTACAATTATTATCCCCATTTATGATGAAGAAACCGAAACAAAGAGAAGTTAAATAAATTACCCAAGGCTTTTAAACTACGAAGAAGCAGTTTCTCCCCAGGAAAGAGTAAAGACATGTACAAAAGAGACATGGAATAAAGAGGCTATTTCATGAAGAGCAATAGAGAGCAGTAAGAGGACAGACTCTAGAGCCAGATTACCTGGGTTCATATCCCAGCACTGCCACTTAACGAAATATGAGAACCCAGCAATAGCCTCTCTCTATACCTCAGTGTCTTCCTTTATAAATGCAAAGAATAGCAACTTTTTCCTGGGATTATTGTGAGAAGTAACTGTGATTAAATAATAGTCCACTCAAAATATTTAGAAGCAATGCTTGATACTTTATAAATAACAACTCAGTAAGTATTAGCTGTTATTATTAATACAGGACAGTTGGTTCTATTTCATCATATAAACAGAAATAAAGAGGTTAAAGAGAAACAGCTCTGAGCTAGAGAGAAAAGGCAGAAACAAAACCTTCTAATGAGGCAATCTTAGGGTCTCCTCAGCAACTGCTCTGTCCTTCCACTAGGTTTACATGTTCCAAGGTAGCCTGACCTTTGATTCCTGTCCCATAATTATCTCAGATCCCATCAAACAGGAAGTTGTGGAAGCCAGAGAAACGTTTAGAGCGAGAACTCAAGGCTGGATTATGAAAAACAGATAACGCCCAAAAACAACCTGACATACCTTATCATGATTCTGGACCCCAATTTCTTTTCTTCTCTTGTTCTTTGAGGCTGTGGGTATCTTGGAAGATTCCTCTTCCTCTTCCACATCAGGCAATGCCACTTCTTCAAAGCCATCAAACTAGAGGAGGATATGATGCCACTCAATACAGATGCCAGCTTGATAACCCCCACATGGCTTTCCCTCTTTATAAACCCCCTGCAGCCTCAGGGCCCACACCTCATATTCCTTCTCCTCAGTCCAATTGATCTCTTCAAAGTCACCCATCCAGCTGGCTGCTGGGCGCAAATGGTCAAAGAAGATGGAAAACTCATCTTGCAAGTGGTCATGGCCCTTTAGAAGTTGCCACATCTGTGTCTTGAGCTGTGGAAAGTTGTAGAGGGAAAGCTGAAGCCTCCAGATCCTCTCTGGCAGCCATTCCAAACCAATCCCATACTCTTTCAATTTCTTTTTTCCATATCAACTGAGAGATAACAAAAAAACCTTTGATAACTAAAAATTGTTAAATCACCCCTCTTTCTTTGCTTGCCTACAGGGGTGGGATATTATTATTAATAACAACAGTCTGGTTCCTAAGGATAACATGCTCCACTTCTGCCCTACCAATATACAGCTAGGGCATTAACTAGCAGAGAAAGGGGGCAGGCCCGTTCCAGGGCCCTATGGCCTCATTCCTTCCAGGGCACTAATAGCATTTTCACTAAGCCTGTGAGAATCAGTCAGGCTCTAGTTTCAGGTGGCAACTCCTCCCTACCTCAGTGTTTTATGCTTTAGTTCAATTTAA